CTCTGATATTCTATGATTCTATGAACCTTCATCAGTCTCTCAGTTTGACTCCACCTTGCCCCATACTTAGAGAAGGCCTCAGAAACATGTGGTTCTTGCAATGGGTCCTGCAGGTAATCAAATCCAAGATCTAGTGCACCAAGGCAGAAGCAGGGCCGGCTCCAGGCATCAGCACCGCAAGCAGGTGCTTGGGGCGGCCAACGGAAAGGAGCGGCATGTCCGGCTTTTCGGTGGCAATTCAGAGGCGGGTCCCTCAGTCCCTCTCGGAGGAAAGGACCTGCCACCGAATTGCCACCCAAGAACGAAGCAGCGGTGGTAGAGCTGCCGCCGATCGTGGCTTCTTTTTTTTTTTTTGTCCGCTTGGGGCGGCAAAAACGCTGGAGCCAGCCCTGGGCAGAAGACAAGTTTCAGAGTCTTGGACTTCACTGAGATCACGTTGTTACCTCCTTTTTATAATCAGGTGGTGAGTGTTAGCTGGAGTCCCTCCTGTGTTATTAAATATTAACTTTTAATCATTTTTGTATGTTAAACACTCTTAATTCTATTATATGCATTTTTATTCTGTGTATCTATTTATCGTCCTACATATATTTATGTAGGGCAATCAATGAATGAATGAATGTCCAGGGAAAATAGCCCTCAAACTACTAAAAGTGTCTACAGAAGTATGTTATAAACAAAACTGGATGATTGATAAGGGATTTGTTATTGCACATGTTTTCTGTAATGGATTAAATAAGGATCCATTGAAAGATGTTTATAAACTCAATAAGAACTGCTGATTGTCCCATGTCTCAGTAATAATGACCAAATTAGAATTCCCTTTGGCTTATCAATCCTGTAACCTAAAGATACCATAAAAGAAATCCCATAAGTAATTAGGTACAATGAAAATTTCAAAACAGAACACATAGTGCAATTAATTATGGGAAAGTATTTTCCCTCCAAAAAGGAGCTTCTTTGTCTCACACTCTATAAAAGGACAGAGGTTTGCGGACTTGGATTGGGAACGAACACTGTCAGCATTCCACTGGGTACACAGGAAGGGACCAAATTACCTTCTCTTCATCATCTTTGGGGTGGTAAAGTATGTCTTCCTGTATTCTGTGTAGTGCTGTACTAATCTCTGATTGTTAATCTTTGATTAAATGATTCCATTTGAGCCTATTTGACAATCTCAAATTATTAAATTCAAACACACAACACATTCCTGCAGCGGCCATGGTACAACATGGGAAGAGTTGGTGTCTTATATACTCTGTATCCAAACCATTAAGTACAGCCCTACACAGAAAGACCTGTATTCAGATAATTTTGATGTTAGATAAATTTCTGGTTATCATTGGTGAGGTCTGCATGCAAAAGAAAAGGATGCAGTCTTCTCGTCAAGTATAAATGATTAAAAAGTGGTCTTGACTAACATTGATCCCAGGGCACATGAAGAGCAACTGTAGACTTCAGAAAGACTCCAAGGTTAAGAATCTGAGAAATAAAGAGTGAGCATGCCCCACCAGTCAAGGCTGCTAATATAATTTCTGGCACTGTCTCGGCTTGAGTTTCAGTCCATCCCTCATCTTTGCCAGAGTCTATGTTAATCATGGCCTAAGATACTTCACCAAACTAACAAGTCAAAAAAGATGGAAATATATAGAAAACTAGTTATTGAGGACATAGCTCAACCCTCTTTATCCCCCATACTTCCTCACTAACCTCCTGAACAGCTCCATTGTTGAGCAAGAAGGTTAATGAACTAGAGTCGCCCTCCCTGCACGTGATAGCCCTCAGGCATATGAGCAATTCTCCCTTTCGGAACTTGGCGTGCAGAAAGTAAGGAATGCAGCCTGGGAATCATTGCAAAAGTCTGCAAATGTATTGACAGTTTGTGATCAATAGCATTCAGGTTAATTGACAGAGTTAAGAAATTCAGCATGGACACCTTTGGGAGCCCAGCCAACCCCACAATGGCTGTTTCATACTATATCCACGTCAGAAAAGTCAGTTAGGCCTGGATCCACAGAGGGCCTTAGGTGTTGCAATCCTTATCTTTTAGTACTTTGAAAAGTCACTGGAATCCACAAAGCCTGAGTTAGGTGCCTAGTCTCAATGAATAGGGAGAGACAGGCACCTTAGAAAGCAAACTTCAAAAGCCAGCACACAAGGAGGGGAGCCACGTGTTAGCCAATGGGAGATGTGACAAGAGGTGTGTGTCCTAAGCACAACCCCTCTCAGGGCGTTAGGTGCCTATGTCCACTAGCCCTCCAAAGAACCCCTTTCTTGGAGTTAGGCCATGTTGGTGCCTAACCTGTTTCTTGCAAGCAGTTTGGATGCTTACCTACCTCCGCTCAAAATGGCAGAGGGGAGGAGGAGGAGGTGGACTCCCTCATAACTGTTAGCCCAGTGGTTATTATACTCACTCAGGATATGGGACAACCTGGTTCAATTCCTCTCTCTGCTTGTCGAGGTGAAGGGACTGGAGGGGTTTTATCTCATCTCAGGAGAGTGCCCTAACTATTGGACTATAGAATGATTCTCTCTCTGGATCAATTAATATTTAAAGGCTTTGACAAGAGAGACTAAGACCAACCTGCATCAGAATATCCCATAGTTCAGCAGTCCCCAAACTTTTGAGGGTCATGCCCCACCTTACCCCGTCCGTACTCCCGCAGAAGCCGGGGCCAGGAGCGGGGCCGTGGCGATGGGGGAGGATGGACCCGGACAGGGTTAAGGGGGCTGAGGCTGCAGCTGGGGATGGGAGCCAGGGACACGGCTGGGGGGCGGGACTGGAGCAGAGCTGGGGGTGTCAAGGGGAAGGGCTGGGTAGCGCTCCCTCCCCCCCCTCTGGTGGCTAGCCCAGACCCCACCGGACTGTTCTCCACACACCCTTAGGGACCTCCGGCGGGTTTTGGGGTGTGAGGGCCCGCAGGTCCCTCTTTCTCTCACCACCTCCACCCACCTGTCCCCAGCTGGGACATCCTGTCTGGCTGGGGCAGCCCTCCTTAGTGCCCGCCCTTCAGACGTTACAGTCACAAGTAAAGGTAAATGCCACACACTTTGAGGACCTTTGCCATAGTCAGTGGTTAGGACACTCATCAGAGAGATGATAGATCCCCATTCAAATCCTTTACCAGGCTGAAGGGTGAACTGAACCAGGGTCTCCCACATCTTAGGTGAGAACCCACAGGATAAAGGTGACCACTGCTGCTGCCACCTTCCTTCCCCGTTGTTTGGTGTGGCGTTAGCCATGCTCCCAGTATGGAGTGAGTGAAGTTATGAAGATGTTTGGAGAACTGCATCCTTGGCTCAGCCTCATTGGTGCTTAGATACTATAGCGATTGGTATGTGCCCTAGGTTAGGGGCTCCGTGGGCCATAGGGCAGTTACTGTGCTACTCTTCTGAGAGCTCCCCGTGTACGAAGGTTTATTTTGGAAGCTGAAAACTCCTGTGTGTGTGGTGTTTATACGGATGTCGAATGGAAGACTGAGGTCTAGTGGAGTGACATTATGTGCGGCTTTGCGGAAGGGGGCTGCACTTTAATGCGAAGCCCGTTTTTGAATGGTTCTGGGCCACTCGCTTTTGGCGCGGGGCAGGGTTGTGTGTAACATTGAGCAGCAGGGAGAGGGGCTCCCCGGGACTCCCTCTGGAAATGAGGCGGGAAATCCCGACGCCCTGTGGAACGCGCGACTCAGCAGGCTGAGGGGCCGCGCCCTGCCCGGCTGCTGGTGGAAGCCCCGAGGAGAGAGGCGTAGGGGCAGTGGCCGGTTACTCACCAGGAGGCAGGAAAAGTGTGGCCCGGATCCTCCCCTCTCGCACCGGGATCCTCCTCACCCCGTCCCGCAGGAAGCCCCGCTCGTGGGCACCCCTGGCCAGCAGCCGGCTGGGGAGGGGCCCGTGGCCCTCGAACACCTCCAGCTCCAGGCAGAAGGGGCTCTCCACATCCCGCTTCACCAGCCGCCTGAAGGGTTTCTGGGGCTGAAGGGACCAGAACAGCCCCATGGGCTCCAGGCCGGAGAAGCTGCCTCCCAGTCCCGGCAGCGCCGGGGAGCGGGTGAGGTCCAGCTCCCCGCTGCTCCCTGCCTGGTAGCGGGCGCAGGACTGGAAGAGCTCGCCCCCCTCGTCCTGCAGAGACAGACGGAGAGTGACCTCCTGTTGCGGGCACAGCCCCTGCACCGCGATGGCCAGCGGCTCATCGAACAGGCTGCGTTGGGCGGGCGAGAACTGAACACTGGGCGCCATGGAGGAGGCGGCGGCGGCGGCTCCCAGTGCCCGGGCTTGGCCGCGCCTGAGCAAGCGGTGGCAGGATCGGAGCAGCAGCATCTGCGCGCAGAACGTACCAGCTCCGCGGAGCGTGCCCCGGGCGGCTAATGCCATCGTGCGGGTTCAGGCCGCCCCGCCCGCACTGCGGGAGGACTGATGCACCGACCACCTTCCGCCCAGGGGTGCGCTTGGGTGAGTGTTGGGGGGCGGGACTGGCTCTAGTGTAACACTGACGGCAGCTTCCTTCCTCTCTCCGCTTCGAACGAGCCACTATGAAGGAGGATTTTTGTTGGTCACAACAGGATCTTTCTTTTACAACTGGGCCCCCTGCTACCTTTGGTTCCTTGGTGGACTGTTGTTTATTTCTCTTCCGGTTGTTGTGGCACCATGTCATTCTGATCTGTTCTGAATTACATTGCATTATTTTCTTTCTTCCCTTTTACCAAATGTGTAAAAAGTTTTGCTTTAATGTGTGTTATATTATTAAAAATGAAGTAACATAAGTAGAAGTAGTTTAAACACTGAATTAAATGTGTCCTTTGAAAAGGTCTTTATATAATATAGTAAGTAACTACACCTCATTGCTTCTTACCCCTCTGAGGCATTCCAAATTGTGAGCGCTTCCTAGGGAAAGATCAATAGAGGTAATTTCTCCTGAGAGAGTCCGTCTGCATTTGTGGTTATGGAGATACTGAAAAAGTGTCAGGACGTTCTAAAAATTGTTTTGAATTTTTTAAAATTATATACATATTTCTTAGTTATTTACGGTATTGGAAACAATCTCTGTAGTTTGCCCAGTAGTTGCTCTGTCTGTATCTGAAAATTCAGATGTTTTATTGTCCGGTGTGCAGGTGTGCTCTCCAGCATACATCTCAAGAGTTAACACCTGCCTACATATGTCATTCCAGGATGATACTCTCCAGCAAGCAGTCAGTCCTGATGAGGATTTTATCAGGGGCTCCCGGGTGTCTAGGAACCAATCTTAAGAGAAGGGTCACTAAAAGAGTTTAAAAAAGTGCCGGAACTTGTTGCATGTGAGAGAGGGGCCAGATTTGGCATCAACAAAGCCAGTTTTGATAATCTCTCCTAATCTGCAAACTCTTGAGTTTAACCAGGCCTATATGAAGCTCATGGTAATACAGTAGTTGGAGTAACACAGTATTTCTGAGACAATGAGACTGACCTTTTAACAAAAACACTACCAACAAATCTAAATACAATAATTAAAACCCATGATCCACAGTATGGGCACAGATTCATTTCATTTTATTTTTTTGCCTCAAATGGAAAAATAGCAATAAGGCATTACATTATTGTGGTAGGCTATGATTGAAGAAGTACCAACCTACCATTCCATCAAAATGATTTACAGTATGGTTTGGCCAGAAATTGGCCAAGACCACAGAGTCATTAGCCTTAGTACATCCTTCTCATGTGGACTAAATAGAATATAGCAGGGGTTCTCAAACTTCATTGCACCACGACCCCCTTCTCCCAACAAAAATTACTTCAGGACCCCAAGAGTAGGGACCGAAGCCTGATCCCGCCCAAGCTCTGCCACCCTGGGTGGAGGTGGGGGGCAAAGCCAAAGCCCCATCACCCTAGGCCAGGGGGCCAAAACCAAAGCCCAAGGGCTTCAGCCCCATTCATGTGGCCTGTAACCTGAGCCCTGCTGCCCAGGACTGAAGCCCTCAGGTTTGGGCTTTGGTCCCGGGCCCCAGCCCTGGTGACCCCATTAAAACGGGGTCACAACCCACTTTTGGATCCCAACCCACAGTTTGAGAACCGCTGGAATAGAGCATAAACCAAATGTAAGGGGCAGTCAAGGTAAACGGTCTGGAGTATTGGATTTCACATAACATAACAAATTATTAAACATATACCCAGAAATCTTCAGTCTTAGCACTATCTATACCTACGTATAACTATCTCAGCTAAGCAGTCCCACTTTTGAGCTCAGGCTAGAGCCTGGACTTTGGGACTCTCCCACAGCTTGGGCTCCAGCCTGAGCCCGAATGTCTGGACAGTAGTTTTACAGCTCTGCAGCCTAACTGTGAGCCTGAGTCAGCTGACCGAGGCCAGTTGTGGGTGTTTAATTGCTGTGTCAATATACCCTCAGAGGAAAATCTGCAACATTGGACCATTGGGCTAGAGTCTGATCTCATTTATACTGATGAAAATTGTAGTAATTTGTAGGGGTTGATTCCTAATATTGATGCAAAAATGGTTATTAATAAAATTGTTGTAATTAATTCTTATGTTAGGTTTTTATAAACTTGCCTGTGCCTTTATTAAAATATAAATACTTAAGTATTTGTATATACATGGTGCTTGAAGAATAATAGCTTACATATTTGTCTTAGTTACTTGTTTTATTAAATGAAATATTCAGGCTAATTAGAGAAACAGAAAATTTCCTCTTTCTCCCAATAAGTGACAGGTACAGAAGCTTCCAGGAGAATATCTCATCCTTACCCATAAGTCATCTTTTCCAGGTTCAATTATAGATTGGAATGCAGTTTATAAATTTTCTTGTAATGATTTAAGTAGGATACTGAAATGCTATTGTGATTTAAAACACCAGAATGGTTTAGTCTATGTACAGTAACTCCTTGCTTAACGTTGTAGTTATGTTCCTGAAAAATGCGACTTTAAGCTGAACGATGTTAAGCGAATCCAATTTCCCCATAAGAATTAATGTAAATAGAGGGGGGTTAGGTTCCAGGGATTTTTTTTTCTCCAGACAAAAATCTATATATTATATAGATATATACACAGTCTATGTTTTAAACAAACAATTGAATACTGTTCACAGCTATGATGATTGTGAAGCTTGGTTGAGGTGGTGAAATTAGAGGGTGGAAGAGGGAGGGATATTTCCCAGGGAATGCTTTGCTGCTAAATGATGAACTAGCACTCAGCTGAGCCCTCAAGGGTTAACACATTGTTGTTAATGTAGCCTCTCATCAAGGCAGCATGAACAGGAGAGAGGGGAGACAGCACAGCAGACAGAGACAGACACACACCTTGTGTGTGGGAGAGAGAGAGATATGCACACTACCTCTTTAAGTAAGCTGAACCACTCTTAAGTGCATTGTCTTTTTAAGTGGATCAGGAAGTTGACAGCAGCTGCTGCCCCAAGCTCTCTCTGTCTCTCTCCATCAGTGTCCCCTCCCTGCTCTATATAGAGAAGGGGTAAGCGGGGTGCAGGAGCAAGGAGGAGGTGGACACCCTGACAGCCCCCCTCCTTCCCCTCCTGCACAGCAAGCAGGAGTCTCTGGGAGCAGCTCCAAGGCAGAGGGCAGGAACAGCACATGGCAGTGGGGGGGAGGGAGAGCTGAACTGCCGATCGATAGCCTGCTGGGCTGCTGCAGCACAGGGAACTTAGGGGAGCGGGGAGCTGATAGGGAGGCTGCCGGTCCACCCTGGTTCCAAGCACCCACCAGCTAGCTGCAACGGGCTGCTCTTCCTGCAAGCAGTGGACAAAGCAGGTGGCTGCCAAATGACGTTAGAAGGGAGCATTACACAACTTTAAACGAGCATGTTCCCTAATTGATCAGCAATGTAACAACGAAACAATGTTAATCGGGATGACTTTAAGTGAGGAGTTACTGTATTGCTGAAAAAGAGACATTTGCTAATCTTTGTAAACAAAGGCTAGGTCTACACTAGCATTTTGTCAGTAAAACTTTCGTCAGTCAGGGTGTGAAATGAGTTTCACCGACAGCGCTATGTAGACGGGAGACGCTCTGTCACTGACATGCTGCCGCTGCTCGTTGGGGGTGGTTTAATTATGCTGACGGGAGAGCTCTCTCCCATCGGCATACATCAGCTATACGGAAGTCCTTACAGCGGTGCAGCTGCAGTGGTACAGCTGTAAGGTCTCTAGTGTAGACATAGCCAAAGAAATAGTGGATCTAATTGTAATATGAAGATTCTTGATATTCTTTAACTTGTCTGTCCCAAGATGGATCCTTGAATGGCTTCCTTTAAGTAACTGAATTTAAATATCATCTTTGTTTCAAAAGACTCAGTTAAGATCACTCACCTTTGCTCCTTAATGAACTATTTAGGTTATCCGTGATATAACAAACAAGACTCACCTACCATTAAATGAAATGCCTTTCTGCATCTATGAACTATTTTAGTTATTTGTGATAAAGCAGGACTCATTACTCATTTTGGAAATAATATACTTTGGTCTTAATTTGTCTAGGGAGGGGCACCTCTAACAAAGGTGGGCTCACTGTCAAAAGGTGTAATCTCTGTTAAAAGCTCTCCACTGAGAGATTTACGAAAGTGGTTGTAACCAAAGTAACCATTGTTTGTTGTTTGTTGTTTTTATTTTCTTTTTGTTCTTTAACAAGAAAATAGTTAATTATTGAGATCCTTTTGCTTGTTCATAATTGTGGTGTCTCCTAAGACATAGTATGTGACTAAAACAGAGTACATCACCTCCCTAAATGGACATTGAGAGGTAATTATTAAGATTTGGCCAACCATTTTCTGTTTCTTTAGATTATAATTTTTTTAGGAATAAAATTACTTGGCTCAACAATTTAAACCACCTCTTTCTACCCCACAAACTCTACTGACGTTAGATGTAGCGTGAGACTCTTTCAAAATATGTAAACATTTTCAAATCTTTTTCTGTGGGGATGTGTTAGCACTGTAGAAATGAACATTATGCCAAGATAAATTATTGATTTGATAAAGTGACACTGAATATCCCTGGATGTATTCTTAAGAAGATAGAAAAAACATTCTCAGAATTCCTATGTGTAAAGAAGGAAGCTGAATGACATTGAAGAAGTTGAAATTCTTTTTTCATTTGGGGTGTATGATTCTTCTTCGCTACGTCTTTATCATTGCTGTCAATCTGCGACTTTGTCTGGCAACTAAACATAACTGAGGTGTAAACAATGTCTCAGAAGGTTCTTGGATTCTACATTGGTCAAAAGTATTCAGATTTCTCCAAAAGCAAAAAGAACAGGCACCTTAGAGACTAACAAAAGCAAAAGGGATCCTAATTCTAAAACTAGAAATTCTCTTTATTTTGACAACCACAATTCCATGGTCAGACCCATGGTGAGTCTCACAAGTTTCTCTCTACCTGAACCTTCACTACAGAATTGGAAATTTCCCTTTTTATTGGCCCATGTGGTCATTTGGTGGCTTAAGTGTCCTGGAAGATATGTTAATATGCAATTAACAAACACTCTGCTACTCTCCAGCTAGTGTTA